TTAACCCCTTGCCAAGTTGGGCGTCCTTTGGTTATGCTGGATGTATAAATAAGCAGCCACGTTCGGTCCTAAAAAGGACATTAAAACAGATGCCTCGTATAGAGAGAGTGGCACGCTCTCTGCTCTTTAAGAAACCTTGCAACAATATGGTAGGTCCGTAGGTAGGTACCCACACTTGTTTACCTATATTTGTTCCTCTGAACAGAAGTGCACTGGAAACTTTGTTATAAACAATCCTATAATATCTGTTCCTTTTGGAACAAATATTATATATTATACCTTTTATTTTGTCAGGAACAAGAAACGTTATATTTTTTCCAGTGGAAATGATATTCCATATTTAAAACATATATTATAAAGGAACATCTATTCCATGACAGTCTGTTGCCAGGCCAAGTTTCTATGCCTATCCAGTATACCCTCATTTTCTTGTGTCAGTCCAAATTTTCCACCCTCAATCCTGGTCGATTCCTTATTACAGGTCATACCTTTTGTATTAATTATTGACTTATTTTCGTCCTTAACATGCATGAATTATATAACACTGGACGTAAAGAAAACAGCAATCAATCAATCAAATTCTTGTTTAGCGTAGTGGTTTTTATACGACCGCAAAAAAATTTTTGTGGTCGTATATTGGTATGACGTTGGCGTCGTCGTCGTCGTCTTCGTCGTCTGGCGTCGTCCGGCGTCGTCCGAAGACACATTGGTTTTCGCACTCTAACTTTAGTTTAAGTGAATGGATCTCTATGAAATTTTACCACAAGGTTCAATACCACAAAAGAAAGGTTGGGATTGATTTTGGGGGTTATGGTACCAACAGTAAAGGAATTAGGGGCCAAAAAGGGGCCAAAAATAAGCATTTTTGTAACTTCCAGACATAACTTGTGTGTTAGTGTATGGATCTCTCTGACATTGTACCACAAGGTTCCATATCACAAAAGGAATGCTGGGATTGATTTTGGGGGTAATGGCCTCAAAATTTTAGGAATTAGGGGCCAAAAAAGGGGCAAAAAACAAGCATTTTTCTAGTTTCATGACAATAACTTGTGTGTAAGTGTATGGATCTTTCTGAAATTTTACTACAAGGTTCCATATCACAAAGGGAAAGCTGGAATTGAGTTTGGGGGTAATTGCCGAAACGTTTAGGAATTGGGGGCCAAAAAGGGGCAAAAAATAAGCATTTTTCTAGTTTCCAGACAATAACTTGTGTTCAAGTATATGGATCTCTCTGAAATTGTACTGCAAGGTACCATACCACAAAGGGAAGGCTGGGATTGATGATCGGGGTAATTGCCTCAAAATTTTAGGAATTAGGGGCCAAAAAGGGGCAAAAACAAGACTTTTTCTAGTTTCAGGACAATAACTTGTGTGTAAGTGTATGGATCTTTCTGAAATTATACTACAAGGTTCCATATCACAAAGGGAAAGCTGGGTTTGAGTTTGGGGGTAATTGCCCTAAACGTTTAGGAATTTGGGGCCAAAAAACACATTTTTCTAGTTTCCAGACAATAACTTGTGTTCAAGTGTATGGATCTCTCTGAAATTGTACTGCAAGGTACCATACCACAAAGGGAAGGCTGGGATTGAGTTTGGGGGTGATGAATCATAAGGGGGTTCAAAAAATTTGGGGGGGAGATTTTTTTTTTTTCCTTTTTTTTCTTTTTTTCCTTTTTTTTTCTTTTAAAATTTTCAATTTTTAGTTGGTTATTTCTGATTTATATTTAAAAGAAAATAATAATGATATGGTAGGAGATACACACCAAACAGGATGTGTAAAATATTATATAATTAGTATTGTGCAATAGCAAGAAATTTTCAATTGCACAGTATTGCACAATAGCAAGAAATCTTCAATTGCACAGTATTGCGCAATAGCAAGAAATCTTCAATTGCACAGTATTGCGCAATAGCAAGAAATATCCAATAGCACAATATTGTGCAATAGCAAGAAATTGTCAATTGTACAGTATTGCGCAATAGCAAGAAATATTTAATTGCACAGTATTGTGCAAGAGAAGATACTTCATATAAATTGCTTATTTCTTGACCAATTTCAATGGGGTTTTATTCTTGAATTCTTGGGGTTTTTTAATATGCTGAATCATACCGTGTATTCATTTTTTGGATTTTGGGCCCTGTTTTTACATTGGTCCACATTGAGGTCCAAAGGGTCCAAAATTAAACTTTGTTTGATTTCATCAAAAATTGAATTATTGGGGTTCTTTGATATGCTGAATCTAACCGTGTATTTAGATTCTTAATTTTTGGTTCCGTTTTCAAATTGGTCTACATTAAGGTCCAAAGGGTCCAAAATTAAACTTAGTTTGATTTTAACAAAAATTGAATTCTTAGGGTTCTTTGATATGCTGAATCTAAACATGTATTTAGATTTTTGATTATGAGCCCAGTTTTCAAGTTGGTCCAAATCGGGGTCCAAAATTAAACTTTGTTTGATTTCAACAAAATTTGAATATATGGGGTTCTTTGATATGCTGAATCTAACCATGTATTTAGATTTTTGATTTTTGGGCCCCGTTATCAACTTTGTCCACATTGAGGTCAAAAGGGTCCAAAATTAAACTTTGTTTGATTTCATCAAAAATTGAATTCTTGGGGTTCTTTGATATGCTGAATCTAACCATGTATTTAGATTTTGGATATTGGACCATAATAGGTGAATGTCCTATTTAAAATTTTTAAGTTCTTAGACCACATTCATTCTGTGTCAGAAACTTATGCTGTGTCAAATATTTAATCACAATCCAAATGCAAAGCTGTATCAAGCTTGAATGTTGTGTCCATACTTGCCCAAACTGTTCAGGGTTCGACCTCTGCGGTCGTATCAAGCTGCGCCCTGCGGAGCATTTTATTTTATGAAAGAGCTAGGTCACACTTTGTATTTGTAAAGCAAAATATTGGAAGGTTATCAATTGCCTTGTATTTATAGGATAATTGTATTTCTTACATACATTTACCAGTTGGAAAGTGCTTCTTTGTATGAAGTAGATTTTCAATTACAGCTTGTGTCGGACTATTGGGGTGTCTGAATAGCGGGGTGTCGGACCAATGGGGTGTCAGAATAGCGGGGCGACCCCTATAGAAATCACATATCTGTTGGTAAGTCCTCCTTCATTATAAGCGCAACACAAGCATTACAGCTATCAATTGATGAAACTTTAAAAAGTTGTGTGTGTACAATACTACTTAAAGTCGTGCATATTGGATTATAAACCTGGTCCCACTTGTTAAAGGGGAGATAATTCGCAGTAAAAGTTTTTACCAAAGTTTGTGTTATCAATCCAGTTTGTAGCTTTTTTAATGATAAATTTATGAATACTTATATTGTTATGGTTTATAAAGGTGTTCAGCAGACAACCAAATAATTGGGTCAAAAACTCAATAGGCTGGGTTGCAATACATGTGGTTTGAGAAGGCCTTATAAATGGTAATAACACATGTCTGCTAGTATTTGATATGTAAGGCGAAAGCTACTGGTTTCTACAAATTTTCAAACTATGGAAAACTATTTTCTCCCAGGAGATGTGTAGGCTAAAATAGATCAAATTATAAAAGAATTAACCTCAATTGAGAATGCTGCTGAAAGTGGACTTAGATTTTGAAAAATTGTCAAAACGAAAACACATGTGTAGGTACACGTTCAATGTACACTCTTTCATGTCGACAAATATATATATAAAAATGCTATGTCAAAAGTCTGAAGAAAATTAGTTCAACAGAACAGTTATGTTATTTTTTACTTTATCTAAGATATTTTAAATATTCTTAAGAATTTATCCATGATGTTAACAAAATTGTTTGATAAAAGATGAAAAAGTTTTGTGGAATGGATGCTTTTTTTGGTTACTTTTTTAATGAGACATTCCATTTAAAGCGGAGACTTTTATTCATACTGTACACAAGCTATCTGGACTTCAACTGTATCTCTAGATTTCATGGAAATTAGTTTCAATATTTATTTTAACACACTAAAAACTTTTTCATCAATGTTTTCATCAGCATTTCACCTATATATTAATGATGAATGTGGTTTATTTTTATGCATAAATTGGGTAACATATGCCAAAACTCTATAGAAATAGCAAGTCAGAAGTTAAGATAACTACAAACTTACTAGACTACCCTTTCAAAATATACATGGTTATAAAACATTTGCAACATATAACTTTATTTAATTTTTAAAGCAATTGCTTTAATGCTATGGCGTATAGCCATCTTTGTGACCCAGATCAAGCCAAAGTTTTTGAGCAGATTCCTCGTCTGTCATTCTAAAAATCCTATGTATGTTTTCTAATGAAATACATTAATTGAAACAGTTGAAAAACAACAGTGGGTTTGTGAATTTTCAACATATGTTCTTGTAGATGTATTTAAGGAGACAACCATTTGACTATCAAAGAATGTAGAAGTCCGAGTGAAAAAGTTCATTTTTATACCTGCGATTTTGTTCTCGAGATCATGTCAGTTGTTGATTTAATATTGAAAATTTGACTGGATCCCTTATACGGTTTAATGTTATTTAATTCGTGTTTCCTTTTGAAAGAGGTCAAGTTGCTCTTGTTCATTCATAAAATTATCGTAAAATCACTACGCATGTTATAGTAATGTAATCTTATCTCACATTATTTGTTTTAAATTAAAAGTAAAACAGTTTATGCGTTCTGATTACACGTACCATGGTTTTAATACTTTTTTGAAATTATGGGCCCCTATTGATTATTAAGGGTTTCCTTAATTGGGGATTGATACTGATAGACTCCACTCTGTAAACAAATGATGATCAACTGATCAAAGTTACTTCTCGAGACAATGTCAAATGTCATAATGACCCTCTAGGCTATTGAAAATGATTACCTGTAATTCTCAGGAATTAGAGAGTTTTGTGTTTTATATTCTGAGGTTTTAAAAATCAAAAAAAATTTAACTGAAAGAGTGTTTCTGTTTGTCATATGTTAAACCCAAATTATCTTTTTATTTACTTTTATAATGTTTCGTCATGTCTCTGGTTTTGATGCTTGATCAGCGTCTTTTCATTGGATTCTTTAAAATAGATCTTAGCATTGACCATCAGTGTTACAGTTTGATCGTTTTCATAGGGCGGTCCACCTGCCCTTTCCCGACTGACACCCTATGCCCTCTTTGAGACGCCTTGTCCGATTTTGTGAATTTCTGCACAAAAAATGATTGTTTCCGATTTTGAACTTTTCCCAAGGGAGACAATCATGATCAGCCAATCAAAATCATTGTTTCTCCTGATTATTGGGCATTGCAAACATGCTAAATTTTGAACTTGTTATGATCGTTTGAGTTGTATTCCTATGTCTGTATGTCGGAATTGTACAAATCATGGCAAATGAATTTTTATCTGCAAGAAGGTTCTTACACAGCATAAGAAGAAAAGCATGGCTGATTGACAAAATTCAAAGATGCAGTACCTATAAATTTTTGTCTTATTTCTATACGTGTTGTCCCCCTGAGAACATGTAAAATATTGTAAAAATGACTTTCTACTGGATAAGTTTTTTATTGATATAAAGTTAAAACATCCTTACTTCTCACTAGATGAGACTCCTTCAGGTTTTATTCTTTTACATGTGGATGAAAAATAAAAGTCACAAAAATATTAACTAGGCAGCAATTGCTTTAACAGCCTTTAAGGCTTTGATTTATAATTCTATAAGAAAAGGAACACATTAGAATACAAAAATTTATTTATTTTTGTGAACAAATATAAAAGATAACAAAATTAAATACTTGAAACAAATATGAATAATAACAATATCATTTTTTTACAAATACTGCTCTAGCTATAATCACATGAACTTTAAAATCATTAGACTATCTTGCCTTTTATACATAGAATACATATTTCATGATGTAGCACCAAAAAGTTTACAAAATGAATTTAACCTAGCAACTGATTTTATCAGAAAGCACAGTTATACAGATGAACAAAAACTGTTAAAAGATCCTTTCAAAATGATGTTCAGTGTTCTGTGGTCTAGTTGGTCTATGTTGAGGTACTGGTTGGCCTGGTCTCCTTGAAGGAGCTAAGTACTCAAACATTGAGGTACTATGTTGTGAAAGCATTTTACCCAAATCTATTACTTCTGGGTCTGTCCAGAAAAAGTCATGATTCAAAGCCATATCTGCATTTAATCTTTTTGAAGGGTCCAATGATAAAAGTTTGTCCAACAGATCAATAGCTTGGGCATCTTTTAGATAAGGTTTTAATCTGTCCCTCACCTTCCTTTTATGACCTTGAGGCATCTCCATTTCATTAAACAGGTCAAGTCGTTCTACATTTGGCCAGACATCTTTTGAAATAGAGCCACATAGTTGTGTAATCAATTGTAGCTGATGTTGTTCAGTCTTTCCCTGCATTATTGGAGTTCGAGTCCACAATTCTGCCATAATGCATCCAGCACCCCACAAATCAATCACTGGTCCATAATCCCTTGCTCCAAGCAGTAGTTCTGGAGGACGATACCACAAAGTGACCACACGATTGGTATATCTGTTCTGTTTTTCATGTGGCATTCTATAACTAAATGCTCTAGCTAATCCAAAGTCTGCCAGTTTTAAAACTCCACTTTTTGTTATAAGTATATTAGCTGCTTTCATGTCTCGATGTAATATTTTACTTTCATGAATATAGTATAAACCTTCAAAAAGTTGTTTCATAACCATTTTGATTTCGCCAAGGTTAAATTTCACATTAGCATTACTCAGCAAACCAGCAAGATCATGCTCACAAAATTCAAAGATTAAATAAAAACTTGCTCGATTCCTATTGTATGGTGTTGCTGAAATGGAAAATGGAAAACAATTAAAACTAGAAACAACATTTATGTAGAGGGCATCTTTTGAGGACTTGTGTATTATACTAGCTTGTATATTATACTATCTAAGAAACATCATGACATTTTTTTCTGTATGACTACAAACCATAGATTTTTTATCTTATATATACTCCTTAACTTTAAATAAAGATAGTGACTGCAGAGCTCATAATCTTATGGCCAACTTAGCACAATAACCATGATAACCATTTTCAATATTTATTTCATGTCTTGTTGAAATGAATTGAATATAATGCACTTAGAACAATCAAAGCTGGAAGATAAATTAAAGCCCTTTGTAATAAAACAAGAGGCTCCTAAGAGCATCACTCACTGTCAAAAATCAATATACAAATTTTAAAACTTAGTCAAAAATTCTCATTTAAGGGCAATACCTCCTATAAGATGTCATCCAAAGGATTTGGTTATATTTGCATTTTAGTTGGATCATTGCTATATATATTTCTTCAGATAGAATTTTTTAAAACTTTGCACAAAATGTAGATTTTACTATGCTTTTTTCAAAAATAAAATATAAGTATGGTTCACATGCTATATGTCAAGCAACAAGTCGTGTAAAATTGTTCAATTTTGCATAGATTATTTATGAAAAACACTTTTTGTGAATGAAAAGAAATCATTGAGATATAATTTTGAAATAAAATATGAGAAGATAGGTTTTATAATATACTTTCAGAAAATACGAAGAAAAAATTGTGTAACCAAAGTTGACCAAACTTGTTTTATTTTTATTACATTAATTGCCAAGCTGTTTAAAAACTTGCAGATTTAAGATAAGAACTAGACCAAGTGTACTGCTATCTAACAATCAAAGATGGCGGTATAAGTTAATCTACCTTAAATAGTAAATTAGTCAAATACAATGAGTAAGGGACAATGACCTCTATAAGGGTTCATCTGATAATATTGTTGGAAGTTGATAGGAGGCAGCTCTTGAAATTCTGGGCATTTTTGCCCCTGTCTGTATTTCTTTCTATTATGGTTTTCTAGATATAATATGAGCTGCGTCGGATAGAAATCGACCTTATGTAAATGAATATCAATACATATGTTAATTTAAAAAGGATTGAAAAAAATCTCTATGCAAAGTCTGTAAATGTCTGAAAATTGAGGCAATATAAGAACCCCACAAAACAGACCAACATTCCTCTTTTATTTCGTATTTGAATGTTCCAAAAATCAAACAAAGTATTAGCAATGTACATGTATACGTGCACTTGCATAAGGTCGATTTCTATCCGGCGCAGCTCATATGATAAATGCATTTTACTCTTTTTTTTAGCAATGGAGGCCATGAAGCTTGATTGGCTGGAATATCCAAAAGTGCAAACACTGAAATGTCTTGCTTGCTTAACTTATGATTGAATTTACTTTGAAAGTCTGTTATATGAAGGTCTTACAACAAGTATTACATAAACTTAACATTATCAATGATCCATGTAAATGATGTCAAGGTCAGATGAACCCTATCAGACAGACATGTACACCTTGCAATCATACCATACACCAATAAAATGCTCCGCAGGGCGCAGCTTGATACGACCGCAGAGGTCGAACCCTGAACAGTTGGGGCAAGTATGGATACAATATTCAAGCTTGATACAGCTTTGCATTTGGATTGTGATTAAATATTTGACACAGCATAGGTTTCTGACACAGAATGAATGTGGTCTAAGAACTTAAAAATTTTAAATTGGACATTCACCTATTATGTTCCAATATCCAAAATCTAAATACATGGTTAGATTCAGCATATCAAAGAACCCCAAGAATTCAATTTTTGATGAAATCAAACAAAGTATAATTTTGGACCCTTTTGACCTCAATGTGGACAAAGTTGATAACGGGGCCCAAAAATCAAAAATCTAAATACATGGTTAGATTCAGCATATCAAAGAAACCCCATATATTCAATTTTTGTTGAAATCAAACAAAGTTTAATTTTGGACCCCGATTTGGACCAACTTGAAAACTGGGCCCATAATCAAAAATCTAAATACATGTTTAGATTCAGCATATCAAAGAACCCTAAGAATTCAATTTTTGTTAAAATCAAACTAAGTTTAATTTTGGACCCTTTGGACATTAATGTAGACCAATTTGAAAACGGAACCAAAAATTAAGAATCTAAATACACGGTTAGATTCAGCATATCAAAGAACCCCAATAATTCAATTTTTGATGAAATCAAACAAAGTTTAATTTTGGACCCTTTGGACCTCAATGTGGACCAATTTAAAAACGGGGCCCAAAATCCAAAAACTAAATACACGGTTAGATTCAGCATATTAAAGAACCCCAAAAATTCAAGAATAAAACCCCATTGAAATTGGTCAAGAAATAAGCAATTTATACGAAGTATCTTCTTTTGCACAATACTGTGCAATTAAATATTTCTTGCTATTGTGCAATACTGTACAATTGACAATTTCTTGCTATTGCGCAATATTGTGCTATTTGATATTTCTTGCTATTGCGTAATACTGTGCAATTGAAGATTTCTTGCTATTGCGCAATACTGTGCAATTGAAGATTTCTTGCTATTGTGCAATACTGTGCAATTGAAAATTTCTTGCTATTACACAATACTTATTATATAATAATTTACACATCCTGTTTGGTGTGTATCTCATACCATATCATTATTATTTGCTTTTAAATATAAATCAGAAATAACCAACTTAAAATAGAAAATTTTAAAAGTAAAAAAAAAGGAAAAAAAGAAAAAAAGGAAAAAAAAAAAAATCCCCCCCCCCAATTTTTTGAACCCCCTTATGATTCATCACCCCCAAACTTAATCCCAGCCTTCCCTTTGTGGTATGGTACCTTGCAGTACAATTTCAGAGAGATCCATACACTTGAACACAAGTTATTGTCTGGAAACTAGGAAAATGTGTTTTTTGGCCCCTTTTTGGCCCCAAATTCCTAAACGTTTAGGGCAATTACCCCCAAACTCAAACCCAGCTTTCCCTTTGTGATATGGAACCTTGTAGTACAATTTCAGAAAGATCCATACACTTACACACAAGTTATTGTCCTGAAACTAGAAAAATGCTTGTTTTTTGCCCCTTTTTGGCCCCTAATTCCTAAAATATTGAGGCAATTACCCCCATCATCAATCCCAGCATTCCCTTTGTGGTATGGTACGTTGCAGTACAATTTCAGAGAGATCCATACACTTGAACACAAGTTATTGTCTGGAAACTAGAAAAATGCTTATTTTTTGCCCCTTTTTGGCCCCCAATTCCTAAACGTTTCGGCAATTGCCCCCAAACTCAATTCCAGCTTTCCCTTTGTGATATGGAACCTTGTAGTACAATTTCAGAAAGATCCATACA